GCCCTCTCTTCTTACTCAGCCCCTGACTACTGTCTTTAAAAGTGTAAAGTTTGTGTGTGTGTGTGTGTGTGTGTGTGTCAGTATGTCTTTGTGTGCAAGTATGTCTGTGTGTGTGTGCAGGTGCAGGGGCGTACCTGAAGTATTTGGCACCCGGGGCGGATCCTTTATTTGGCACCCCCCCTCAAACTTTGAAATGTAAAAAAAAATGCAATTTTTTAAATGTATTTGGCACTGAACACAGAAACAAACACAGACACACAAAAAGATACACATACAGATACACGTATAAGTGTGTGTTTGCGTAGTGGATGCAGTCTGTTTGCGCAGTGTATGCGCTTGTATAGTGTATGCAGTGTGTGTGTATAGTGAATGCAGCTTGTAATGTGTGTAGTGTGTGTGCAGATGCAGTGTGTATGTTGTGTGGAATAAGTGCTGCCACTTACCTTCCCGTCCTCCTCGACTGGTGGTCCGGTGGCACCGCATAGATGGGCAGTGAAGAGGGGCCCAGTACACTCCATCCTCGTTTCCCATCCAGCAGCAGCATGGTCCTCAGTTCTCGCGATCCGCGAGAGCGTTGCCGCGGGTTGGCAGAGAACAGAGGACCTACTGCTGCTGGATGGGAAATCGCATGGATACTCGAATACGGCACACCGGTCCCTTTTCGCCCCGGGCGAAAGTTCGCCACGCACACCCCCTTAGTGAGTGGTACCCGGGGCGAACCGCCCCCGTCGCCCCCCCCTTAGTACGCCACTGTGTGTGTGTCAGTCAGTATGTCTGTCTGTGTAAGTCAGTATGCCTGTAAGTGTGTGTGCGTGTGCCTGTCAGTGAGTGTGTGTTTTAGTGTATGTCAAATAAACAGGTGTGTGTGTGTGTGTGTGTCTGTTTGTTTAGGTGACTGCCCTCCCTCCCCCTTTCAATCACATGTGAAAGGTGTTTTTACTCTCCTCTTGGTACAATGGGTCACTTGAATGGATGTCCCCTCCCTCTCCCCCAGGCCTAAGGCTGCCAGCCCACACCTGATGGAAGAGAACTGGTACAGTTCTCAGTTAACAATTAGTTTTACCTCTGGATCGCTCAGTTACAAAGTCACAGCATCCATTAGGCCTTTAACACTTAAGGACACATGTCATGATTCCCTTTTATTCCAGAAGTTTGGTCCTTAAGGGGTTAAAATTGATTTTCAACTTTTTTTTTGCAGTATATCTTGTTGTTTATCTAACCACCCTTTGCTGTAAAAAATGCTTTAAAGCTAGTTCTTTAGCCATAAAAAGTGAAGTTGTAATGTTATTTGACATGTGTACATTATTAGGTGTGTCTTTCTTAGCTTACCTATTCCAGTCAGGCTTCGAAGAAATGTCAATAGTTCCACATTTACTGTTCTGTGTGCACAAGAAATTACATTGTGGTGGCTTGTAGAATGTAACACACACCTTGGTAATTCTTTGATCACATCTGAAAGTTTAATGCACCTGTTCTTTAGAATAAATCAATAACTTTTTTTTTTTTTTTCTGGGTCACCCAAAGAGCAATATTTATTTTGGGGCCCCCTTCATATGCTTGTTTGCAGTAGTGCCCTTACTGCCACAGGGAATTCTGCAGCATGAGTTGCCCCAGAGCAGCTCTGACCAATAGTTGCTTAGAGGACCACTCTAGGCACCCAGACCACTTCAGCTTAATGAAGTGGTCTGGGTGCCAGGTCCCTCTAGGATTAACCCTTTTTTTCTTTATAAACATAGCAGTTTCAGAGGGTTTATCCAGCCTCCAAATCCTCTAGTGGCTGTCTCACTGACAGCCGCTAGAGGCGCTTGCGTGATTCTCACTGTGAAAATCACAGTGAGAACACGCAAGCGTCCATAGGAAAGCATTGTAAATGCTTTCCTATGAGACTGGCTGAATGCGCGCGCATGAGCATTCAGCCAAAAGGGAGGATCGGAGGCAGAGAGGAGGAGGAGAGCTCCGCGCCCGGCGCTGGAAAAAAGGGAAGTTTTAACCCTTTCCTCTCCCCAGAGCCGGGCGGGAGGGGGACCCTGAGGGTGGGGGCACCCTCAGGGCACTATAGTGCCAGGAAAACAAGTATGGTTTCCTGGCACTATAGTGGTCCTTTAAGCAGAGCTCTCTGCAGCTGTTATTAAAGAGTTTCTCCAACCCCTTTTCATGTATAAAAGAATAATGCCCCCTTTTACTTACCTAAATCCAGCACTGGACAAATCTCCCCACCACTGCTCGGAGCACCTATGTCTGATGTTTTGGAAGCCATGTAGAGAAGCCGTGTATTGGACTTTTTTACAGGCTCAGGGCACATGCACACACTCTGAGCTAGCAAAGGGAGAGGGAGGTCAGGAGTTGGAAGGAGGGCGGGGATTAAAAAAAATTGCCAATGGGATTTGGGGCTGCATTGAAGAACCAGTTACGACTGTCCTCAACGTTGCACTGTGATTTGCAACGAAATGCCAAAAAAATACTTGGATATTTGTGTTGATTTTCCTTTGTTTAAATTGAAGTGGTCCCTGTACCAAGATAAATACACCCCGGAGCTGTAAAAATGAGACATGACTAGAAGTGTTAAAGGAAGGGGTTAAACTTGGCAATAGTGTATGTAAATATCTAAATTACGCCATGTTTTGTTGTTCACATCACAAAGAGAAAGGAAAGCAAATGTGTGATCTTTTGTGCTCAAATAACTTGTTCATACTGACGGCTGGTTAGTATTCAAAGGTTTATGATTACGATTTTAGACCTTTTGAAATCATTAACACATTATCTATGTTTGCCAAATGTGGGCTGTGTTTTCCCAGAGGCAGCATTTTTGTAAATATCCGTTGTGTCCATGGTAGCAAGCTTATGCAAAATTGTAGATAAGGCAGAACTATTGTCTGTAATACATTAAAAACAAAAATCTACTTTGAAAATGGTATGGTCAAACAAAGAATAAAGGCATTACATTTTCTTCATACATTGAATTTGCAAGTGTTCATTATCTGAGGAAGCTGGAGTGAGGAATCCTCTGAATACCAATCAATTAAGGCACTGGATCCTAAAAAAAGAGATTCAAAAAAACATCCTCCAAACACAAACAAACAAATATAGATGAAAAAAGTAAAAAAAAAAAATAAACTATATATATATATATTTATTATGCTGTTTAACATGCACTTTATACTACAGTGTGGATGTGATCAGCAGCTTAAAACGCTCTGTGGGTACTACCAAAAAAAAAAAAAGGAAAAACACAAACACAGTGTTTAGGTGATATACTCCACCACAAAATCACACAAGCAATAAGTGAAGTGCTCAAAAATTTAATGACTTGCTCGTCAATAATTTGGGGTGCCCAAGCAATATGAGAAAAAAAATAGTGTGATATAATATGGCTTGGAAAAAAGTGGTTAAGGTAATATGTATTACACTCATGTTTTTTAGAGCTTTTCTGCGAACAGGCTGTAGACATGTAAATCTCTGTTCCCTTTTGTCGACAGCACTAGTTTTTATGTAGACTTCAGAAATATCTCTCAACAGTAGGTATACATAACAGATGGAGAAAAGGTAAAGCAAGACCGGATTAATGCAGTATGTCTTGGTTATACAGAGCAAATTAATAAACCAAAGCTGTCTGCTCACCTTACTAGGGAGTGCGTACTAGACTGGCTCCAAGTTCATGAATGAATTGCCTGATATACTTAACATTTATTGAAAAGTAACAAAAAAAATTGTTGTACTTGTGGGACATCACCGCATACAAATGTGTGTTTTATTCCAGTAAAAGTGAACAGTCTTATGACATTCACAGTAAAAATGATATGCAGAACTTTGGAAATTGACAATAAATTAGATTTTATTCATACTAAATTATGCATCATATATACATATTTGACATGAAATGAAAACCCTATCTTTCCTGAACAAAATGATTTAGAAGTGTGGGTGCACTTAATAAGAAAAGGGGTAAAATAACGTTGAATAGACATATAGCTTGCATTCTAGGTTTTGTTTTGGTTTAGAACTTGGACTATTGCCCCCTTCCCTAAAGGGTTAACAAGTGACTATATATGTATATATCAATTAAAGCCATTTTTGTCATTTAAAAATATTACTGGAATTGTGATTGAAAAATGCAAATATTGCTTGTTTTAAGTACAAAACAGGCAAACTGAACCTGTGTCACTAAAGGCTCACTTTACAAACAAATGGTTCACAGCACAGTATTCTGTACATACATTTGTTTGATGAAGTATGAATGTTTTTTTACCTGGAATTCAGCCATGTATAAAAGAGAAGTGGCCAAGCTAGTTTATTAAACAGGTGGATAGTAAACGGATATCTGGAAAATAAATCTATGTTGGAAAGGTTAACTGTGATGAAGCTAGCCAAGTTTCTGAGCTTGTGTTCCAGGATCATTCTAAAAAAGTACGGTAATATTTCAATCTTTCTTTGAAGACTGGCTCACATGATCAAATATACAGCATGACAGTGACACAAAAATGGCACATTTAGACAATCCAGATCAAAGCAGT